TTTCAAATAATGTAAAAAGAATAATTCCTTCCCTTACTATGGAATGGTTCCACAATAAATTGCTTTTTAATATTAGTAGCTAAAATGGGCTATTGCTTAATTTAATCGTTGAATGCTACATTTGCAAACTTAGACAAATGAATCTATACGCTGCTGGGTCTCCGACTGAATTCCTTCCTAAGAAATAACTTACATTCTTATTCAAGGCTATAGTTGTCGCTCTTAAATTATTCGCCAACTTACTCGACTATCCTAATGCCTAAAAAACTATCTTTGACACTACTAGTCTACTCAGATCTAGCACCGCCATCTTACTTGATGATAATTAAGGTCTCACTATAGAACCTGTTTCTTTCAAATTATTCAATAAATTTACTCCTCCATTTCTTGAGTTACATTGGAATTAGACTAAGTGAGCGATAATAACATTCGAATATGCTCTCTTAAGATGTAAAATTTTACTAGACCAAATGTTTAACCAATGATGCTCTATATTGTCATTAAGCTAATTGCAATGCGCTATACGATGAAGGCTAGAAGTGTAGAGACATCAAACTTTATGCTAATTATTATGGGATTGTCAAAGGGTTATGCCAGAATGAAAAACGATAACTGGTTTATTCGTGAGGATAATTGATATAAGATCAAATTAATAATTATAATAGGCATCTACCAAGAACTCGTATTCAATACTTTACTTTAAGCCTACCGCCATCGTCTTAAGCTTTCGTTGCTTATGGAGCAATATGCTTATGGATAATGATAAAAATATAAAAAGTTAATATTTCTATTTTAATGCGAAATTTCACTAGACTTCTTTCCTGAATCCCTAAGAAATGAGAAAATCTCTATAATCTCAACTTCATCTACTACTGAAATTAAATATGTAAGTTGGAAATTATTAAAATTAAAATTACATCACGTGTGTTATCAACACTCTAATTTGAAATGCATCAAAATTTTAATCTTCAAAAATTTCACTAATAAAGCATTAGTACACACTTTTTAAGCGAATATAAGTGGCATTGTCACAAACCAGCTTCGTGACAAGGATAACGTAAAACAAATCTCTAAATTACCGTAGTCTCCGGGATTCAGTATCCATTAACTACCTCACAAGAATTTAGATGCCTTTGATTCTACGTTAAAACAACTATACAATTGAGAACTGCTTTATTCAACTATCTGACGGGTTTATATACCCTTCTACAGCAGCTAACATTCACAAGTCATCCTATAAAAATACTTGGGTGAGAACATCTACTAACTAGTTTTTCACAGTCGGACTACAATATGTCCATTCGCAGAATCATTTCAGTACACATTACAGCACAGCAGTAAATTTACTGTAACACATTTATAATTAGAGTAATTCCTATTGTAAGTAACTAGTTGTAATATAATATCACTATATTATATTAACCAAATTTAGATATCTATTTCTTCACGGTAGTTCGTACCGTGACAGGCATATACATTTGTGATGAAGTCATCTTAATGTAGAAATTTTATTGCCTAAGTAATAGTACCTAACTGTACATCTGTCTATGCTTCATAATTATCGCTCAGATAAATATTATTTCTATAAAACGAGTTTAATTTACAAAGAAGAATTTGAAAAATTTATGTCTCATTACATGATCAAATGGAAGTATTTAGTGAAGTCAATTCTTAAGCGTTCACAATAAATCAAACTAACTGGAGTTAAAACCCAAATTAAGCTTTATTACAATAAAACTAACCGTAACTGTATTCACAACAAACTACTAGCAAAAGAACTTCCGATCTACTCGGTGCATACGCTTATAAATTCTAGCGCATGACCTATTATGCTTCCATTCGTAAAGCACGGGCATTGAATTACTGTATTTGTAGGAGCACGAGCAACTAGTCGTAATAAACTACATAATTATTACAGACTACGGTAGTGCATATTGATGATTCAATACTAAATTAAATATTTAACTCAAGTACTAAACTCAGGACACTACAAAAATATCTGAAGTCTACTCAAATTACAATCCCTAACATATAAATTTATCCAAATAACTTTAATTTATACCCGGCATCGCCTAATTTCTTTGGAATTTATGGCACATACAAAATTTTTCTTCTCGGAAATTTTAAAAATGAGCTTGCCATCCATGTTGTATATTCACTACAAAGCATTAAATTTATTAGCCAAAAATTAGCAAAATTGTGACCATATTAAGAATCGTAGTACAAATTACTAACAATTAATATTGTTACTGCGATATTAAGCTTAACGCAAAGTGAAATTTCGATTTTAAATATCGAATCTTCAGCTTCAAATTCCTATGGCAGTATAGTTGCAAATACATATCCATTCGATATTAAAACAAGCCACAACAATTTATTGAAGATCCTGAAGAATTAGAGCAGCATTTAAATTCCAGTTTAAGTGTCATACGCGTCAATATTGTTTTAAGCCTTTTAAAAGCAGAAATTATTACTTTTCTACTACTGTAGGTTGTAAGGCTTTCAGTTCTCACATTCATTAAAAAGTGTACCAGTATGAATAAGGCAGAAATTACCTATTCTACTTCCAACTTAAATGATACATACTTTATCATATACTGATCAAACCTGCTGTTTAATCGGATTATTTCTTACGTTACAAGATAATCATGACAACTTTAACATAATTTTCATTTGAATAAGATATTATCAAAAATAGATCAAAATTGTTAAATTTAAATTTGATCTCTTTATATTCTACCTATTGATATAGTAGGCTACTCAGTATTACTTACTTGTATTACTATTAACAAGTTACCACATGCTTATAATAATTTTCTAGTTTATTGCTGATTTTAGAACTTCAAATTAAGACTGATTGACCTAAGCCATAAGAATTGTAAACTTGGATGGCTTAAATGCTACGATAGAAAAGATAGAAATTTATGGGAAAAGGAAAAACAGTTTTATTATGATATCGCACTACGAAATTGGCATATAAGTAATATTGTGGAATGCATTTGGTTTGAAGGTGGTAATAAATATAAAGTACAAGATGGTGAAAGATTTGGAGCAGAAATACACAATAGATTGTAAGATATGGAAACTTATGCTGCAATCTTAAAGTACTAACAATTCATCATAAATCGAACGATTTATGTTACAATATTCATACAATGACAATAATAAAAAAATCGTCGGTTTATATATTATTAGCCTGATGACAGAACAATTATCCATTACTTTGTAGATTGATATGTTATGCATTACCTGGCGAAGATATAGGAATATTAAGTGACTTAATCTCCAGTCAATCCGATTTTTTAACGCCAGAAAGTGTTATCCAAATCGTTAAGGATATCGAGGTTGCTTTCAATTCATTGAAATTTCATTCAATTATCTACGGTAATATCCATATGGACGCTATATTCATAGCACTACTGAGCCAGGTATTCAAATCAGTAGTTTTAAGTAACCATGCGAATGATAAAAATTTTAACATATGCAACCCGATAACAATAGAATAGTTCAATTAGGATCAACAATCAGAAATTAAGAATGTATTGTTGTTAAATGCGTTGCCTTCAGTTTTCTCAAGAATCTAAATGGTAATTATTGTAAACTAGAAGAAATTAAACGTACAAGATCTTTTTTATCAAGTAATGCACCTAATGAAGTTTAATTGATCCTAGACCTAAAACATATTTTGATGAAAGCATTATGACATTATACAACACGGTTTAAGTAAATTTAGAGATTCATGTTTTAATAATAATACGTATTAAGATTATATCTTGAAACTGCATTCCTCTAAATTATTATGTAAGTAAGGCATAAAACTTAGTTATCTCTATTTATAGTTTAGATAAATCAACAAGGCATGATACGCAGTTAGAATACTTATGTATTCCTTACGTGTAAATTCGTCCAAGCTATTGTTTAATTCACACTTGGCGCGTAATTGCATTTACTTTGATGAGTTATGCTATTATAGTACTGACAATAAGGATAATGTAGCAAGTTCCAGATAGTCAAGTAGATATCAAACATTATACCAAATATTTTCAAGCACAGATGTATATACGTATGCTATAGCTACTTTTTCAAAATTTCAGTTTGTATTAAAAATGTTTACGGTCTCCATATATATATTTATGAACAGGGAAAGAAAATTACTGCTCTTTTAGGTGACTTTTCATCTACACAAATATTCGATGATGCTATGCCATATCCAAATTTTGCTGATTTACAGATGAATGATTATAGCAACATGAAGCAGTTGTGTGATGCACTACTTGCGTATTGCAAGTTCAAAATACTAGAGGATATGACAACCACTGATAATAGTTTACATATCAATAATGTCGCAATATCCTACAGTAGTAGTGATTGGAAGACAGCTCAAGATTGGGTAAGTTTTATGGATATTTTAATAAATTTTCCTGTGTTTACAGGATTTAGTTTATGTGAACGTGGATAGCTAGATCTGCATGTAATAGTTTCGATTTAATCCTCAATTAAAGGCGCTAGATAAAATATTTATACCCTTTCCAGTTCATTAATAAGACTATTCATTAATAAGACTACTATTAGAAATTTTCATAGTAACGCTAGTGCATTAATTCAATATAAACTATGAAAGAATTAGTCTAGCTAACTAAGTAAAAAAATCTTTTTCATCCATTTTCTGAGTATTAACTCTACTACCTAAGAAATTGGGGAATACAACTATTATCTGCTAGTTACTAAATAGCTAAGAAAATCTTAATTGATCCGTACGCAAACCCTTTCTATGACAGTTCGTTCAAAATACAACTTTTAACCATTACCCTAATAAAATAGATTATGCCTTGCATTATGTAAAGGAATAGATATTAATAACCTTAGATAATAAATTGAAGAACTATTGATTGTTAACAGTATAAATTACTTTCGATATTCTAGTTCGTTTTCCTAAGATAAAAAAAAAAATTACTACGACTAATGTAATCTTCTCCATATGAATCATTGCATTTACAATGATGATTTTGCGTGTCACTTTCAAATTAAATACATAAAGATTTTTCAAACTCACTTGAACAAAATTAAAGCATAGACACTCTTCCCTCAAACAAAATGAGTTATTAGAGTAAGAAAAATCTGATAAACTACAGCAAATTTTTTTCTAGCATCCTTATTATTTGAAATATTCCGAACTTATTTATCTCACTTTATTTCGTTTAAAATAATGTACCTACTATTGTAATAAGAGATTTTTGTCTAACTATTTAAGCATCTAGTATCTTAACTTAGAGCGTTGCCTAACTTTTTATTCTAATTATATGACTTACTACTTGAATTAAGCTGCAGGAATACGAAACTAACATTCATAATCATCGACTGAGAAGTAACTAATTCAATATTGAGCTATTATCTAATGTAGTATCCAATTGGTTTAATCATTAAGTCCTCTTTAGCGGCTAGTTCCAACATGTGTTAAATATATAACGCAATTATCTTGTTACTAATAAGTAAATAAATCCAAAATAGAAACTGCTTGCCATTTCCTCTTAGTCCAATATCCTATCAAAGTTGTATTCTATGTTCTATGATAACATCTTAAAGCATGGCTACATTTTCAAAGTTGTATTGCACCGATAAGGAGAATTGTCGGACTCAATCAACCAGAAAAAATCAGAATATGAAAGGGATCTCATTAGCTACATACTTACCTTGATTTTTGACTCTTTTAACTTTAAGAATAATCTGAAAGGTAGATTTATTTCTGCTAACAATAACTTATTAATTTAATTCTGTCATTAGCGGAAAATATTATCAAGCAGTATTTTAAGCTATTATAAATAGATAACATTGTATTGCTGATTATTGAAATTGTGCAAATACCTGATGTCATTTTAAATTGCCTTAGCCCTTTCTTCAAATAAAATATGTTGATCCATGTTTACTATTTTCAATTTATTGAGGTCGGAGACAATATTATGGTGTTGTGTTCTCATTTGAATTTAATCATTGTTTATACTGAAATTAGAAAAATACTGGGCAAGCAGTAAAGATACTTGTCTATTTTAGTATTTTATTGAGAGCTTAGTATGTGATAAACAGATACAGTGCATGCAATCAACCGCAGTAATAATTTTACATATGCCTAGTGTATTCTTGCCAGTACTACGTTAAACCTCAACAGCTTTTAAATGATCTTTTCCGACAACTCTTCCTAAACGCTCAATATTACAAATGCTAGGCAAATGAATCAATAGTGACTCCGTTAGCTTGAAGTTCGTATACTATATCCATAATTATAAGACATTTTATCAACATGGTCTATTTCAAGTTGAACAAGTTTCTGATAAAAAAAGCTGTAATAAATTCGTATTTCCTTCTAGTAGCAATTATATTCTCATACTTTATTCTCGTATTTCATCTTTGCAACATGTTAGTTCTAGCATTCATAGAGAATTGCGGTGGGCAGAAAATTACCACTTATGTTTTTACGCAATGTATATATTCTCCATGAACCTCCGTAGCTGTGTTAGACTTTCTGATGATTAATCACCACAAAACCAATTCGCTTTAATCCTAGAAGCTTTGCTTAAGGTTACAAAGTAACTTGAAAAGCTTGCAAGCTTTAAATTTACTAATCATCAAAAACAGATTTGACAAATAGGTGTGATTACTTAGGAATAATTAGGCAATTACGTTTTGCTCGATCAAAATTTTAGCATTATGCATGCATTTTTGTAAGCGGATTCAAGATTCTGATCCATAACAGCAACCTGCATGTCGTGTTTTAAAGCAGTTAAAGCTATTATAACAATGGTATGTATCGTAATGATCTAATAATTTTTACAACTACGTATTTCAGTAATATTATCAGAGAATGCTAGACATTGCGATGCTTCTAAAAATCTTATTCATCAAATAAATATGGTATACATTCGTGTCGAAGATAGTCTCGACGCCTACAAATTACATGTTGAACAAAAATGTGTCAATCCTCGTCCACGTGCAATTGACTTCACCGTTGAATTACTCTACTACTATGGTCATAGTTTAATTAACTATCATATTTATGCTACTGCAGTACATTCCCAAATATATCTAGGACTAAGTTTGTTAGATTGTACGAAAATAGATGAATTGTATATGAAATCGTAAAATTGTATATGCATGATTATAATCCTGTCATGTTACAATGCACTGAACAGTGTTTAGTTGCATACGAGTAGATGTATGCTGAGTAAATTTGCTGCAAAATAGAGGAAACAGAGGAAATACAATATGCCGTTTTGCAAGTATGTAACATATTCCTAAGTAAATTAAATAAGCTATGTACAGTAGTACAGTACAGGTGATTAAAGTGAAATGATACATAGTTATACACTGTATGTGATTTACCGCATATCTTCTATATTGCGATATAGACTGCTAAAAAAGTATTTTTGTAGCAGTCCACGACTGAAATTAGTACGCTGGGTATATTATACATGGTATGGACGATACCTTATCAAGAGGTTTAATAGAGGAAACATATATACAGTCTTGAGATATAATCTGACTGTGAATTTCCTTTCATGTCTTGCTTTTAGTAGAATATATACCTGATCATTTGAACGGGAACTTTACTAGTATCGCAAATAACTGTTACGAACTGAACCTTAAAGTCTTTTTAACAACTATATAAAAAATCGTCTATCTGCCTTGGAATACCAATTGTCTGGTATTCCAAATAACAGGAGTATCAGGTAGAAATCACTCTCTCGTTCCTCGTTTGCAAGTTAGGGCAATCCCTAGCTTTTAAAATCTCAGCATATACTCGTATATTTTGATTTCCAAAGTAACTACATCAATGCATCTTTACGGAATACGAGTAGATTACGGAACAATGCGCGGATATCGTACACTAATGACTTAAACTGGAATAAAATCTTTGACAGCAGCGATGAATTAATGTGAAAATAAAAAATAAATGTTTATACAAATTGTATGCAGTACCCGAAGTATAATAAGCATGGTTTCTGCTTGTTAAATTAATGTGTATCTAAAGGGTAAGAG